ACATGTCTGCAGTTGGGATGGGATCTCCTGCGCTTTAGGGGCTCCTGCTCTCTCCTGTAGAGGCTTCTGCCCTCGAGGGCAGTGGCCCTGACCAGAGTCCCTCTGGCATGTGGGAGCCTGAAAGGCAACAGGCCCCATCCCGGAGCTGGAGGCCCAAGCAGGCCAGGCCCAGACGGCTCCCCCAAAGCTCCCCCACACTCTGGCCTCCCGCCAGCCAAGGCTCAGGGAAGGAGGGAAGGTGGCGGCCCTGCGCTTTGTAGTCTGAGTGGTGGGAGGCTGAGCCCCACAGGCTCTCCTGGCAACCACTGCACTGTGAGAAGGCGAGTCCCTGCCGGCTTCTTGGTGATAGGGCTCTGCCCCCACCTCCCACCAAGGGCCGCAGCCCCAGGGCCATCCTGCAGCCTGGACTTAGGGAGTTGGCCCTTGGGGAGCTGTGGTTTAGGAGGCCTGGGAATGTGGCCAGAGCAGCCCCATGCTTTCTCTCCTGCCATCTGTGGTCAGCTTGCAGCTTATCAGCACGAGGTAGCAGGTCTCCCTCCCTGAGTGTGATTAGGGTTACAGGTGAGCCCCTCTCCTCCTTGCAGCCTCCCTACCTCCCAGTTCTGAAGTCTCCCCACTCAGAGACACTGCGGACTCTCCTCCAGCCCTCAGTCATTCGCCCTGAGACTCAGCGGGAAGAATGTTCAGTATCCGGGTTATGGCATGTTTGCGAATAGCTGCCCCTACTTTTTGGACCATGTGGCAGGCTCCAGGCCCAGGACATTACGTGTTTTGTCTCATTTAATAGGGGTTCTTATTGCCCCCACTCTACAGATGAGGAAACTGAGGCTTTGACTTGGCCATGGTTGCACAGTCAGTGGAAGAGTGAACATCTGACCTGAACTCAGGTCTGATGGACTCCCAAGCTGAGCTCCTGAATACCATGCCCAATGCTTTCCACTGCCCCTGGGAGGCCAGAACAGCGGGCCCCTCTGCCCAAGACACCCTGCCCCCGGGGAATGGAGACTGTGGCCCAGTTGGGGAGGATTTCTTCATGGCTTTTGTCTGTGTCGGTCCCTTTGTCCTCTGGAATGCTTGGGAGCCTAAATGGCACTAGGCCTAGAAATGGGGTGGGATGGGAGTGCACATCCAGGAGCAAGAAGGGGACAGGGACATCACAAACAAGCACCCAGTGAGCTTGTCACACCCACCTCCAGTGAGCGTGAGGGCGGCCTACCCTCCAAGCCAGGCCACCACCGGGCAGCCCAATTCATAGCCTCAGTGTGGGGACAGGAGGAGGGGCTCAGAGGCAGCTGGGCTGCCCCAACAGCTGTACCTACAGCCACCTCCTCAGAGATCAACTCCAGCTGGGCCTGGGGTAACACGATCTGTAAGAATGTGACACTTGATTCTGCAAACAGCCCCGCTGGGCCAGGGAGCAGAGACTGTTTGCCATCCCAGAGTCACCCAGGATCTCCCGGGCCAGGCCGTTCCGGGCAGGAACCCAGAACAACACACTGCAGACAAGCTCAGCGAAGCCCACACTTGAACTGGGCTTCTCCCTCGGCCCTACCCGGGGCATCGGAGCTGTCTCGGTCTGTGGTCAGCAAACTGCGGCTCACGAGCCACATGCGGTTCTCTGGGCCCTTGAGTGTGGCTCTTCCACAAAATACCAACCTCTGCGCGTGGGCCACGAAGTTTCAGTCGCACTGTACGTGCATGCGCGCACGTGGTATTTTGTGGAAGAGCCACATCAAGGGGCCAAAGAGCCGCATGTGGCTTGCGAGCGGCAGTTTGCCAACCGCGGATCTAGGTGGTTCTGAGGAGAGAGAACAGTAGTCCGAAGGTGTGACTTCTGATAAGAAATCCTTCCAAAGTAATTCACAGCTGCCATCTCCAGTTTCCACCACGTGCCCAGAAGCACCGGGCGAAGATGTGAGGGAAGCCTGAGTTCAGCAAAAAGATAGCTACTGGGAGAAGGTTGCACTGCTGCTGCCTGGCCATGGCACCTAATGAAGTCTCCCCTGCAGCCCCTCTGGGGCTCGCGCCCAGTGCTGTGGGTGGTTCCTGTTTGTGCTTTGGGCTGATCCTCCTGGGAGCTGTATCCCTCGCACAGCGAAGCTCCATTCCCAGTCCCCACATCGTGCCTGTTTCACGCCGATGTGTGGCCATCCTGTCCCTGGTCTGGGGAGGAAGCCATGATGGCCAGAGAAGCCACAGTGATGGCCCAGGTCCTCCGTCAGCCCTCTGCCTCCTCCCGCGTCCTCCCTGAGTGCCAGACTCCAGTTGAAGCTGAATAAGTTCTGAGCACCTAACATACAGTGTGGTGATTATAGTTAATAATACCGTGTTATACACTTGAAAGTTGCTAAGAGTAGATCTTAAATGTTCTCACCACAAAAAAGAATGGTAATTATGTGAAGTGGTGGGAGTGTTAGCTAATGCTATAGTTGTAAGCATTTTGCAATATATAAGTGTATCAAATTAACAGCTACACGGCAAACTTACACAGTGTTATATGTCAGTTTCATCTCGATAAAGCTGAAAAAATTAAAATACAAAAAATAAAAGCATCTACAAAAACTTTTTAAATATGGGACAACTGGATATCCATCCACATGCAAAAAGATATTAACTTGGACTCCTTCATACAATATAAAAAAAAATTTTAATGGGCCAGAGACCTAAATGTAAAAGCTTAAGAAAAAAATTTTACAAGAAACCGTATCATAAATCTCTCTGACCTTGGATTAAATAGCAGTTTCTTAGATACAACACCAAAAGCACAAACAAACAAAGAAACAGATAAATTGGAATTCATCAAAGTTTCAAAAATTGTGCTTGAAAAGACATCATCAAGAAAGTGAAGACAACCGAAGAATTGGAGAAAGCATTTGCAAGTCATATATCTGATAAGAGACTTGTATCTGACATACAGATAATTCTTACAACAGCAATGAAAAGATAAGTAACCCAGTTTAAAAATAGGCCAGTTGCTCAGTGGTTAGAGCATCAGCCCTCAGATTGGAGGGTCTTGGGTTTCATTCCTGGTCAAGGGCACATACATCAGCTGCAGACTCAATCTCTGGCCCCCGGTTAGGGCATGTGTGGGAGGTAACCAATCAATGTGTCTCTCTCATCTCTTTTTCTCTCTCTGTCTCTCCATTTCCCCCTCCCCCCTCCACTCTCTCAAAAAAAAAACAATGGAAAAAATCTCTGGTGAGGATCAAAAAAAACAAAAGTCAAGGATTTGAATAGACATTTCTCCAAAAAAGATATACAAATAGCCAATAAGCACAAGAAAAGATGTTCAATATCATTAATCATTAAAGAAATGCAAATCAAACCCAGAATGAAATACCACTTCCCATCCACTAGGAGGGCTATAATCAAAAATAGATAATAACAAGTGTTGGCAAGAAATGTGGAGAAATGGGAACTCTCATACATGGCTGATGGGGATGTAAAATGGTGCAGCCACTGTGAAGAAGTCTAGCAGTTCCTCAAAAGTTTGCACAGAGAGGGTGACTATGTGATCCAGAAATTCCTCTCGGGTATATAACCAAGAAAAATGAAAACATATTCACACAAAACCTTATATGTGCATATTGAAAGCAGTATCGTTCTTAATAGCCCCAAAGTAGAAACAACCAAATGGTCCACCAGCTGATGACTGGATAAAATATGGTTTATCCATACAATGGAATATTATTCGGCCATAAAAAGGAGGGGGAAATGGGGAATGACAGCTAATGGGTAAGAGTTTGGGGGAGAACGAAAATGTTCTGGAAATAGTGCTGATAGATGCACATCTTTGTGAATATACTGCACACCACTGAATTGTACACTTTAGGACTTTATGGCATGTGACTTATATCTCACTTGAACTGTGCTCTTTGTCATGCCCCGTTAATGTCTTGGGCAGATGGAGTGAGGATTCCTACCATCACTAGCACCTCTTTCCAGCAGTGCTGTTGGGGTCAGTGTGTGTTAGAAAGGAAAGAGGGGGAACCCAAGGAGTGTACTGGGGTGTGTGAATACACTGTGGGGATCATCCATGCATTCTGTCAGCCCTGCCCTTGTCCCCTCCTTGGTGCTGGCTGCTGGGTGCCTTGCAGAGGGCGACGTGGGGAGGGGTGGCCCTCCGTGTGTTCTCAGCTAGGACACATCAGAGGGAGATCTCCAGTGTGCTTCTGGTTGGTTCTAAAGCCAACTGCGGCTTTGAAAGTCTTCAGAGCACGGCTCTAAAAGAGCATCTTTGCCTGCAGATGAGAAAGAATGTCTGATTTCAAAACATTGGGAGCATCCCTGGCCCATGTGGCTCAGTTAGTTGAGTGTACCAAAAGGTCGCCGGTTTGATCCCTGGTTGGAGCACATGTCTGGGTTGTAGGCTTGATCCCCAATGGGGGACCTGCAGGAGGCAACCAGTTGATGTTTCTCTCTCTAAAACCAATAAAAATATATTAAAAAATCATTGGGTGCAGAGTGAAACCTCGGTCACATTTCATAGCGTGTGCCGTCTTTAATCTAGTGGCGTGGGCACAATTACTCTTGGTTCGGTCACGCTGGGAAAGGAGTGTGGCTTTTGCCTCTCCAGGTGTGTCAGTTTTGTTGACCATTGAGATTGTGGGCCTGGCTTTCCCCCTTTTTTCTCTTTGACTTGTCATTTGTCAACTGGCCAAAATAAAGGCCAAGGCACATTTTATTTATTGAGATAATGAGTAGAAGTTTATTTTTAAAAATTACATAGCACCTCGCAGAGGATCTTAGAGAGAGGCGGTGTTCACTAAGTGGCCGGGGTTGACTGGGCGGATGGACAAGTCAGTGGGTATGTGTGTAGTAAGCAGAGTTGCTTGGACTTACCTGTGTAGCCCTTGATTGAAGATTTTCCCTCGTGTTGTTGCACACATACCACCACCACCACCTTTTTGGCATTTACAACTGTTTATATTCTGGGGGGGTGGGCTGCCCATCACCCTGTGGACACAGAATAAATCCCAGCTCCATCCCTTTCTCTACAGGTACCAAAGGCTTAGAATGTTCTCCTTCCACTCCCACCATGAACTCCTACTTACAAGTTCAT